TAAAGGTAGATCAATTTCCCTTCCCAGTATAAATTTGAATCCCATCAACGGCCAAGACTCAGAGACTATAAAAATCAGCTCCCGGAACCGCGCGGCCACATTCGCGACCGCGCGACATCCTATTATGACATCTTATTATCTCATTCCTACTTTGGACAAACTGGCAAGTTACCGAATGTAGCCTGCCCACACGGCAGAGTCTGGCAAACTCCCTGTGGCGTACCCAATATGCCAAATACCAGTAACAATGATGAATCTCATTCTCCTAAAGAGCCTTGAATATAATCTCAGGGCCAGGATGAAGGGGCCTGCTCGAGGCAATCGACGATTAAATTTGAATGATTTCCGTTTAATTTCTTCACTTACAAAAAGGAAGGCAAGAGGGCTGGAGAGACAGAAGAACTCTCACCAGGTGAGCACAGGAGGCTCAACCCCTAGCACCACCAGAAGGGGTCCCCGAGCACTGAGCCAGGCACAGCCCCTGAGAACCACTGACTTGCCCCCTGACGGAAGAGGAAACAAACGAGAGAAGATAATTCCTACCTATTTCAAGGAGTTGACAAAAACAGTATTCCATAAACTCCATTGAGTAATCATTCTAAAATACTACTTTAGTTGTTTTCCAAAAGTGCCGATTTGGCAACATGTTATCATTTAATTATCAATATCTCTATTTTAAAAATTGTCTAGTTAATGTTTGCTGCTGAATTAAAATGTGTTTGATCACAACTTCACATCTATAAACATTTGGGAAGGGAGGGAGTTTAAACTTTTAAATGCTTGTTTCAAATGTATATTACGTTTCCTAAGTATAGTTTTTATTATAAATTCAAATTTCCACTATGAAGGTGTGATTCAAAAGAAAGCAAACATTTAATTTCAATAGGAAATCTTGCTCTCATACCCTATCCACTGAACTACAGAGCTACACGTAACAGTAGTTAGGGACCCAGCCTGACAGTACAGCATGCGGCTAACCCAGATTCAAGTCAACCAGGAGTGATCCCTGAATAGAGAGCCATGGGTAAGCCCTGGACACTGGCAGGTGTGGCCCAAATACCAAGAAAAATAAAATAAAATAGTAGTCAATCTTCGATACCAAACAAGCAAATGCTCCTTCAAGGGACAAGTTTAAGACTGTTCTGCTTTCTCTTCTTAACTATGTCAACTATGGTTAAATGACAGTATCATTCTACATTTGACTGTATCTGTCATTTGTGATGAGCCTCTTCTCACTGCTACAAGAAGAAAGGCCAGACTCAGGGGAGGAAGGGCGACTAGGAACAAGAGGGAGTTCACAGAGGCCACCTGATCACCTAGAAGCGCTAGGTGAAGAGTGGCCTGCTCCAGAGTGACTGTGGCAGAAGGGGGAGTAGGAGAGGCCTATACACCATCAAACCACATATGGGAGGAAGAAGGGTCACATCTGGTGGGGCCGCGGGGACCCTGTGGTACTCGGGTTCAAATCTAGGGCTCCCACATGCAAAGCAAACGCGCCATACCTTTAAACTATCTCCAACCCTCATTTATATACAAGCATACACATATATGTAGTTCTCCAAGGAGAGCCCAGCAAGCTACCGAGAGTATCTCGCCCACATGGCAAGGCCTGGCAAGCTACCTGTGACATATTCAATATGCCAAAAACAGTAACAACAATGTTACTGGTGCCCGCTCAAGCAAATCAATGAACAAGAGGACAGTGACAGTGACAGTGACAAGATTCAGTGTGGGAACCAATCACCAATGTAGAAGGCCAGAGAAGAAAGTTCAGCACAGTTTCCAGATCCTCAGCCTGAGTGAGGGGTGGAGGAAGCTGCCATAAACAAGGAAGCCCAGGAGGGAGCAGGTATAGTGTCCTAGGTTGCTGAGGATGATGTCATATGACAGAGCAGAGGGACACAGCCAGAGGTTAGGAAATGACAGCTGTCACTGCAATGGACATTGGCTCCTCTTAGAGTTCAGGTTTCTCCTTTCTAGACAGTTTCCCCTCATCAACTAAGTGAGGAAGAGAGACAACTTCCTTTCACGTTTGCTGGCAATCTGAAATAATCCTAAAATTAAAAAATACACATATTTCTCTACCCCAAGTTCTCCTCTACACATAAAGAAACAAGGCTTGGGGCCAGAGCAATAATACAGCAAGCAAGACACTTGCATACAGCCATCCTGGGTTCTATCCCCAGCACCCATATTTTCCCCTGAGTCCCACCAGGAGTGATGTCTGAGTACAGAATCAGGAGTAACCCCTGAATATCACCAGATGTGACCCAAAAGGGAGGGTGAGGGGGAGAGGAGGAGGAGAAGGAGGGGGAAGACGAGGGGAAAGGGGAGGGGAGGTCAAGGAAGAGGAGGAGGAGGAGGAACAGGCCTTCCAAAGGTCAGGGATGTGGCTTAGTAAGAGAGTACCCGCCTTGCATATCTGAGGTTGATTCCTGCACCACAGGATCCACTGAGTATGGCCAGGGGCATCCCCAGAGCCCCCAGAAGACCAGGGTGGCCCAGATTAGCACTGGGCACTGCATGGCCTTGAGCAGCACGGCATCCTCAGGCCAGCTTGCAGAGACCCATCAGTAAGGCCCCAGCCTCCTGAGCACTGCAACCCCTAAACGCAGCAGGTTCCGATGCTGCAGCTCTGCATTTGCTCTCCCCTCCAAGGATGCTCTTGACCCAGATATTCCCACAACTCGCTCTCTTTTCAACCAGTTCTCACTTAAATATCTTGTCCTCCTTTTAAAAAAGAAAAAAGGGGAAAAAAAAAAAAAGCCCTGACAATACATTCTGTATCTGTGAGTGTGGTGCTGCTGATTTCCACACAGGAGCATCAGTTCACAGAGGAGGCCCATCTCACTTGCCATCATATCCCCAAGTGTCACAGAATCATTTCTTTTATACTGATTGAGCACCTAGTGGGCTGGGGCGATAGCACAGCGGGTAGGGTGTTTGCCTTGCAAGCGTCCAAATGGCCGATACGAGTTTGATTCCTCCACCCCTCTTGGAGAGGCCGGCAAGCTACCGAGAGTATCTCGCCCACATGGCAAAGCCTGGCAAGCTCCCCGTGACATATTCGATATGCCAAACTCAGTAACAACAAAGTCTCACAATGGAGGCGTTACTGGGCCCGCTCGAGAAAATCGATGAACAACGGGAGGACAGTGACAGTGACAGAGGACCTAGTATGTGCCAGACTAGATTCTGGGGACACACCAGAGAATAGCCACCACTTTCACATTCTAGCAGAAAAGAAGACCACTAAGACACAGTATAAGGACATAAAATAAAAATGCTACGAATAACTAGAGCAACAGGGGAAGACAGGAAATGGGGAACGCATGGCTAGAGGACCCAAGGGAAAGGCCTGAGAGGTGAGTGGTCACAGCAGTCCTGAAGACTGACATGTGGAAGTGAGGGAGTAGAAGGGAAGGGAGTGGAGGGGAGGAGCAAAAGAAGGAAGGGAGGCTGGCTCAGGAAGTGAGAGCACATGGTCTGGAGCCCCAAGAATCATCCCCAGCACGGACTCATGAGCACCATGAGCACTGAGGCAGCTGTGGCCCCTCAAAACAAAACAACAACAGAAAAACAAAGGCATTGATAGACATCTTAGGGACCCACAAACCAAGGCCAAAGGGGATGTGCCCCCTACCCCCAGATTGGGAGGAAGGGTACAGGTGTCCAGAATCAGGTGACATTCCCATTCAAAGTGCCTTCTCTGTGATTAAGCACCACAGTGGGACAAAAACTAAAGAGAAATCCAGACCCCACCAGACCCCCCCCCCCCAAGAAAAAAGGCAGGAAGTTAGTGGAGGGTATTTTGAGCACAGAATCTTTCCAGCAGCTGGGCTGCAAAGAGGAGCTAGGCCAGAAGCAGGGAGACCAGACCGGAGCTGGAATATTACTGAAAGATTGCGTCGTTCAATCATCTAAGGGAAGAGATGGTGGGGACTCGGCCAGGTTGACAAGCACTGGAGTTGGGAAATGAAAACAGTTATGGACAACTTGAACCTTACAAGCCAGACTTCTATATTACTGAAATGCAGGGAGGAGGTATGGGGGGAGGCGGGAAGAGAGATTGCAATAGTATGGGACAGAAGATAAAAGAGCTTACTAGCCGCCCCCGTCCCCCCCCCCATCATGCATTCTTGGTGAAGACACAAGTAGGCCTCTGGAGAAAAGGCAGATATAATGAGATGACAACCTGACAGATAAGAATTCAAAGCTGCAAATTTGGATGAGAGCACCAGGAAGGCTAACTGGGGAAATGTCCCAAACACAAATACACCAAGAGTCGAATTTAAAAAAAAAAAAAACTCCTATGCCCAAGAACACCTCTCATATCCCCCCAAACAAAAGCTGACCCCCTACTCTCTCCTCTCCGCTGAACGAAAGACAATCTCGACCACAACCAAGCCCTCCTTCCCCGACCTGACAAAAGAGGGGAAAACCAGTGGGCCGCCTCTTTTCGTTTTTCTTTTTTAAATGGTGCAACCATGAGCACCACGCCCGCCCTTACAGGGGCCGGAGGGCTGGGCCTAGAAAAGAACCCGGGCCACGCCAGGATCCGATCCTCAGCATCTCCCGACGTGAGGAGCCGGTGTCACCCCCCACCCCCCACCCCCGGGTGCCGGCTGGAGCTAGATCCAAGGCCGGGACCCGTTCCCCGAAAGCCCCCCTCTCCCTCCTAAGACCCCCCCATCCACCGCCCTGCAGAAGGCAACGCCTTCCGAAAAGCTCCCCGCCGCGGGCCGGGGGTCAGCCGCAACCCCCCGCGGGGGTGGGCTGGCCGGGCGGGGGCGTGGCGCGCGGCGGCCAGCGCGCGGGGGGACAGGCCCGCCTGGACTCGGCGTCCCCGAGCGGCCTGACAGCCGGCCGCCACTGCCGCGCCAGGGCGACCACGCGGCGAGCGGACAGCGCGTGGGCGCGGGACGGGCTGCCCCCGCCGGGGTTCCACGCCGCAGCGGCCGGGCCCTGGCCCGCAGGGACGCGGCCGGAGACGCCCTTACCTGGTCCAGCGACGTCTGGATCGCCCGGTCCCGGCCGAGAACGCGGCCGCCGCTTCTCGCGCCGCTCGCCCGCGCCTCCCGATTGGCTGAGCGCGGCCGCTCCCAGAAGCCCCCGCGCGGCGCGCCGCCCAATGAGTTTTCTGGAGAGCGGCGGAAGCGGACAGGAACAGGGGCGGGGCCTGGGCGGGGCCTGCGCGGAGCCTGGGCGATGTCTGGGCGGGGCCTGGGTGAAACGTCATTCGTGACACGCCCACGGCCCCGCCCTCCCGCGCCCGGGGCGTCTCCTCTACCACGTGGCTTTGCCGGAGAGAAGGATCCCACGACCACGTGCGCGTTTTTATTACTCTTCATTTCCAGGGTCTCCAGCCTAGCGCACGATAGAGACCTAGGAAAACAAAATCCCCGGCCTAATAGAGTTCTCAGACGGGTGGGAGGAAACGACGGCCAGTAATTGATGTTTGTTAGAAGGACGTTAAAGGAAAAATAGACAGATCATGGGAAAGAGGGTAAGAAAATGAAAAAAGTTCAGGGCTTCTCGCGGCAGGTGTGGTCGTCGTCTGAGCTGAACCGGTCACGGGAAAGGTCAGCCTTGGCCAGGTCGGGCTGCATGCTAAGCATTCTAAACAGAGAACAGGAGTGAAGGCTCCAAAGGCGAAAACGAGCTTTTTGTTGGAAAATAGAAGGGGGCAAAAAGACTGGCAGAGGATGCAGGAAGACAGGTGGGCTAAGGCTCATAATTGCCTAGGGCCAGACTTCTCCCGGGCATCAAGCCATGAGAAGAAAGTTGAGAAGTGCCACAGCAAGAGTGGAGCATGAGCTGAATTATTTTTGTGGAAAATGCTCCAGTCCTTTACTTGCAGATTGGAGTGTGGGCAGGAGAGAGAACGGAGGAGTCTGTTATTTTTCCTGCACCTACGGGGGAGAGAGAACTAGGACTGTCACACTGGCCACTCATGCAACCAGTATTAGTAAGGTCAGGAAATGGATCAGTGGTTAGAGCCACTTGTGAGCATAAGGCCACAAGTTTAGTCTCTGGCACTGCCCAGCAGGATTCTGGCAGCTCAGCTGCTTGTGCCTGGTGGCTCTGCGGCACCCTGGCACCCTAAGCAATTTCCAGCCACACTTCAACCAGATGTGTGCAATCCATGGTGAAGACCACAGCTATAAACAAGATGTCAGTGCGACTGAGAGCGCAGCCCCCTGTATGAGCACCGTAGTCACACACACACACACACACACACATGAGCACTACAACCAGAGTGTCCTTGAGTACCGTCACTAAAGAAGTGCAACTCTTGGCAGGCACAGGCCTGATGTGCAAACACTGGGACCTGGGACCTGATTGGTGTGGGATCCTTGGTGAGCACCATAAACAACTGTTCAGGCTCTACAATTAAACATGTGTGTGACCAGTCACCCAAACAATATCAAGAGAGGGAAGAGGGGGGAGGAAATAAAAAAACTAAAGTATGAAGCCAGAGATCCATTTATTACTGGATTTGGCATATCAATTTGGTCTATTTGGCATAGACCACAGATAGCTTGCCAGGCTCTGCCGTGCGGGTGGGATATTTAAAGGTACCCTGAAAACTTAGAGAAAAGTAAATAAATAGTTGCGTGGCCACGAATGCGGCCACGCGCTCCCGGGAGCTTGTTGTGATAATCTCTGGATCCTGGCCATTGTTGGGGTTACATGGCAGTTGGAGGGTGTAACTGTCTAGCTACTGACAGGTCCAGTCCCAAACCGTGCAGGCTTGGAGATCTCAGCTCCGGGTCCTACACACCGGAGTTCTGATCTTTGTCAACGCTCAAGAATCAGGGACGCTGTCTCATTTGCCAAGACATCAAAAATCAGATGGGCTGGACACGTAATGAGGTTTACAGACAACTGCTGGACTAGAGCCATTACTGATTGGATTCCACAGGACATCAAAAGATCACGTGGACGCCCACCTACAAGATGGTCAGACTTCTTCGTCAAGACCCTGAATGATCGGTTTGAGGCTCTGTACGTTCCTAGAATGAACAGATACCATTGGGCTACGCTAGCACGCAACCGGAATGAATGGAGACGTTACTGGCACCCGCTCGAGTAATTCGATGAATAAGGGGGATTAAGTGATTAAGTGATAAGTGATGAGGCCAGAGAGCTAGCTCAGGGTCCTGGAGTGCACGCTCCATGCAGGAGGCCTGGGTTCAATCCCAGGCATTTCCAGGAGTGATTCCCAAGTTCCAAGAATGGGTGTAGTTCCTCAGCGACACCACAAGTGGCCGCCAAAAGAAAAATAGATAAGTAATGGATTGTAAATGAAATTATAAGTAACACATGAGAAAGATCTTCTAGGTGATAGAATCACAGGTAGGCCCTAAAAATTCTAGTGAAGTTTTCAAAGTTCCTGCAAGGAAATGGCCACACTACCACAAATCAGGTTGTGGGTGCTAGGCCGCCAGAGAGAGAGAGAGAAAGCAGAATGGGAAAGTTGTTTACCTTGCACACACCTGATCTGGGTTCAATCCCCAGCACCGCATTTAGTTCCCAAATACTGCTAGGAGTGATCCCTGGGCAGAGCAAGGAGTAAGCTCTGAGCACTAACAGGTGTAGCCCAAAAATAACAACAAAAAGAGAGGCCGGAGCGATAGTACAGTGGGTAGGGCATTTGCCTTGCTCAGGGCAGACCCGGGTTCAATCCCTACCATCCCATATGATCCCCTGAGCACCGCCAGGAGTAATTACAGAGTGCAGAGCCAGGAGTAACCCTGAGCATCACCACGTGTGACCCACACCCCTGGGGAAAAAAAAGAGGAAGGGGAAAGGAGAATGAAGTGGAGGAGCAGAGGGGAGGAGAGGGAAGGGATGAACAAAGAAAACTAAGACGTAGTACACAGAGGGGAGGTTCTTGCCTGCATGCTGCCAACCTGAGTTTGATCCCTAGCACAGAGGCAAGAATAGCCCCCCGCCACCCCCTGGTGGGTTTAGCCCAAACCTCCTTGCAAAAAATAGAATCAGGGGGCTGGAGCAATAGCACAGTGGGTAGGGCTTTTGCCTTGCATGTGGCCGACCCGGGTTTGATTCCCAGCATCCCATATGGTCCCCCAGCACCGCCAGGAGTAATTTCTGACTGCAGAGTAACCCCTGTGCATCGTCGGGTGTGACCCAAAAAGCAAAATAAATTAAAAAAAATAAAATCAGGTATAAAAGTCTCTAAAACACATTTTTTTCTTATTTTGCACAAGAGTTATAACAAGACTCACCTTCCAAATATCTGCCCAGAATATAATGTAAAGAATTTACCTTGAGGACTCCAAATTTACCTCCAAGCTAACTTCTTATCTTCTTGCATAACACCACACAGATAGCCATTTCTTTCTTCCGATGACAGGTAATTTGTGGACCTATTTCTGTTCATTGACTGTAAGACTTAGAAGAATTTTCTGGAACATCACTTTCCTTTTTTTAAAAATTTTTGTTTTATAAGGTAGTTCACAGTATTTGATTACATTTAATAGCCCGGCAAGCTACCGAGAGTATTGGATATGCCAGACACAGTAACAACAAAGTCTCCAATGGAGATGTTACTGGGCCCGCTCGAGCAAATCGACGATCAATGGGAGGGCCTTTACCTTTACCTTTACCTTAATATTCAATCACTAATCCCACCACCATTACATCTTCCCATTACCATACTTAGGATGTTTCCGTCCTAAGGCCCAAGTCCTGTCCCAAAGCACAACTGAAATATATACTTTGTATTGTTTGTTGGGCTGGAGGGATAGCACAGAGGTAGGGCACTTGCCTTATGCACAGCCAGCTCGGCCATGCCGGGTTCGATTCCTCCGCCCCTCTCAGAGAGCCCGACAATCACAACATCACATCGAGAGGACAGTGTTTGTTTGTTTTGTTTGTTATGAAAAACTGCTGAAAATGCTACAAAAAAGTATCCATAGAGGAAACAATGTGAAGATTTGGAACATCACTTTCAACTGAGCTCAGCACCTGACAAATGCCTCATGAAAGGGGAGAACTGTTCTGAAATGTACTTTAAGGTTCTTGTGAGAGCTGCTCTGTCTACAGAAGTTGGGGGCAAAGTTCTCTTTTCTACACACAAATATCTCTGGTGTGAGGTGGAGTGGGTAGAACAGGAAATCCTTAACTTCCCTCATTTTATTCTATTGTTTCCAAGCATTCTTTTTCTTCTTTCTTTCTTCCTTCCTTCCTTCCTTTCCTTTCTTTTTTTTTCTTTTTTTCTTCTTCTTTTTTTTGTTGTTACTGTTGTTGCTTTTGGACCACACCTGTGCTCAGGGATCACTTCTCAATTTTAACTGCATGTATCACTGCTGGATGTGTCCATGCAAAAAAGAAAAGAAAAAAGGGAAAGATTTGAATAAGAATTTCACATGAGCATCTCTGGGTGTGACCCCAAGACAAAAATAAATAAATAAATAAATGCACATTCCATATACTTAATGCTTCAATCTGCAGATTAAGAATATCTGAGAACTTTCCATATCTGAGGGGCTGGAGTGATTGTACGATAGATAGCCACTTGCCCTGCACACAGCCAACTGGGTTTAATCCCTGGAACCCCATATAGTCCCCTGAGTCCCCCAGGAGTGATCCCTGAGCATAAGTGTGGCCCAAAAGCAAGAGGAGGAAGAAAAAGATGAAGAAGAGGAAGAAGAAGAAGGAGAAGGAGAAGGAGAAGGAGAAGGAGGAGAGGAAGAGGAAGATGAAGGGAAGAAGGAGGAAGAAGAAGGAGAAGGAGAAGGATGAGAAGGAAGGAGGAGGAGGAGGAGGAGGAGGAGAAGAAGGAGAAGGAGGAGGAACAGGAGGAGGAGGAGGAGGACTTGGAAACAATAGAATCAAAATGAGCGAAGTTAAGGTTTTCTGTTCTACCCACCCCAAATATTTGGCCAGACATCATCATAAAGAGGTCTGCAAGGCGGTTTCTGGTGAGATTAACTATTCTGGTGGGGCAGGTGGGATTTTTGGCCACAACCAGTAGTGCTCAGGGCTTCCTCTTGGCTCTCAGTGCAGGGATCACTCCTGGCAGTGTGCAGGGGATAGAACCAGAATGGGCCATATGCAAGGCAAGTGCCTTTCCTGC